TCTGGTTTACATCTCACAAAAGCCTTTGCTGCAATTCAAAGCTTCACCTGTGTAGTGGCAAAAATCTGTTTTGCCTTCAGTTCTGAAAGGTCTTGAATTTGTTCTGTCATCCAGTGACTTCCCATGTCAGCTGATGTAGTGGAGATTGACTTTCAGAAGGTTTCCCACAGGTAGGAAGGGACTGGTTGTTGCAAAACTCTTGTTTTCTGAAGGCTTGTCCACCAGACAAGATCACTGGAAGAGGGTATAGTTTTCATTTTCAAGTCCTCCCTCCCAATTTCTTCAAGCCAACTTTATGCAGGGCTCTGCATTTCCACCATTTAACTATGGCACAGTTACCTCCCGGAGAGACTTCTCAGCTGGCCAAGTACCACTGCATTTCACTCCCTGTGTGGTGCTTATAGCAAGAACTAGACCCTAACCCAAACCCCAGCTGTGCTGTGTAAATTCCTCAGAGTAGATTTTGTTTTCAGCCTGGCTGTCCAGACCTGCCTTGTGCACAGTCCCATTGGAGCACACCCGGCGCTCACTGATCTCGGAGATTGCCACTGCAGTCACAGCAGGGCATGGGCGGTCTCGCACAGCTGGCAAATCTGGTTTCTCATGGCCCTTTTCTTGGAGGCAGTGTTGACTGATCTTCCACGAGGGAAAATAAACAACTTCTCCACTGCAAATTGATACATATGGGAGAGAAACCTGTTTTTTTCATGGGCTACAAATAAAATATAATGTTAACCTCTTCTATATACATGTATTTCACAGAAATATTCCATTCAGGAGACAAAAAATGTCTTTATAAATAGTAGCTTGTCCTACTAGGTATTTAGAAAAATAAGCAGAAAGCTTTTCACGAAATGGCCTATGGTTACTTTTGTTGGTGGTTTTTTTCTCTTTAATATGACAAGCTGATCTCAATCAGCATTCTCATTAGATAAAGCCTTAGGCTTTTCTTTAGCTATAGTATTAAATCTGGGCCTGTTGCTATGCAATTTAATAACAAACTCCTGATGCTATACTGCCTATTGATTTTAAAAGTTGGAAGGCAGTATTACCAATGTTTTTCTTTATATCCCCTAAATCCTGTGTAACACCATCATAATAACAAAATCCCTTTCAGTGCCATGCTCTCCAAAGGAAACTATTGTGTGAGGTAAGGATTGATTGAAGACATGCTCGCTACGTGCTGTGTGTACTTCTTTACCTTTACCTCTGACTGTAGCACCAGCATGAGGGGGCAGCAGCAGTATTTGTGCAAAGAGGGCAGACATGGATAGTGCCAACAGGCAGATACCTGGGCTGGCCAGTGCTAATGGCACGCTTGCTTTAGGGTGAAATTGCTTCCCATGGTCACTGATGTTTGCTGTGGTTAAGAGTCATCCTGGGACATGGTCCTTTGAAAAAGAGCATTGGTGTCTTTTCAGGGCATCTCATGTAAGTTCCTGATGTCACTGGCTGCTCAGACAGGCTGCTTTTGCCTTAACAGAGAGAAATCCTAAAAGCAGACCAGGACAAATGCTTGGCAAGAGAAGTCTGAACAAGAACAGATAACTCATTATGTGGATAACTAACAAGTTGCAACAAGGCCTGTAAATAAGGATTTCCTAACTGGTTAAGAAACTGAAACAGGTATAAAAACTACTGCTAATCACAAGAAGATCCTCCCTGTGATGTCATATCCTGATGCAGGCCTTTTCTTACTGTAATTGTAAGCTGATTAGATCAAGACGAGAACTAATTGCATAACTACTGAAGTACCTGTTGAAATGGAGTCCTGGTCTTGACTGAGATTTATAATAAAGTCATAACCACAGCTACTAATATGAGTAATAAATGAAGGGATAATCTCAGTGAATATTATGTGAATCAGTTTCACAGCTGCAGTTCTTAACAACCTCTATTTCTTTCCATTCAATCTTCTTTTTGGTTTCATTTACTCATGCTAACCAAGTTTTCTCACTCTCTTCCTCAGTTCATTGCTACCTACAATATGCTACATACATAAACCTAGTTTCCCTCAGGTTACCCATTTTGTGTTCTCTAATCTAAAAGATTATTTCCATTTTTTTCCATTTCTCAAGTCTTTGATGGCCACAATGGAGTGTAGTGTATACAGTGTAGTGTATATTGTATTGTATGCAATTTTATGGTACTGTATTCATAATAAGTAGCGTGGAGACAAAACCCCTCCTCTGCGCCGTGATAGCAGCATAAGCTGCCACTAAAAAGGACAATGCTGTGCATAATCAAAGAATCATTAGTGTGCTATTTGTTTAGAGTTCTTGGTCAGGGTACCTCCTTACAGTTGTGGAAATAATTACTTCTCTACTGCTAGGTATCAACGTATTGTATGTAGGTATACATGCATCTTCTTGCAGCCATGTGGACTTCTGTGTGTAAGAACAGAAAGCTGGTCTGGTGGTTAAAGGTATTATGTGTGATGTTCCCCCATGACTTCCTTTAGATCCTTGGTGTAATCTTGAAGACAATGAGTTTCTTAAAACCTTAGTTCCTCATTTCCAAGGCAAGGACTTCAGTAAGGGTACCAGGAGCCTCACAGAGGCGCTAGGAGGTTGAACCGATTACCAGCTGAGATACTGATAAAAGAAGTAAAGAACCTTAGGTAAATGTTTGGCTCATCTCTGTCTCAAAGGCAAAGGTGAGAGCAGCTACTGTGCTCTAATACTCTACCAGTGCAGGTGGCATTGAAGTTCTTGTCCTTCATTGAACAGGTATGAACTTTAAAGCCTTTTGTGATGGTACTACATGTTTCTAGCAGACTTCATTATTCTCTTGTTTAGTGGAGGCTTCTAGTTAGCAGGTGATTGAAACAGCTTTCAAAATGTTTTATAATAATTTAAAATGTCAAATCCTGTTTTAAAACAGGTTTGAAAAGAGTGGAGGCAAAAGAAATGAATGAAGGAGAAGCTTGGGTGGAGAAGAGAGGCTGGAATGAGTAAGTGATGATGGCAGAAATGTGAAACCACACAGTGCTTTGAGAGGACACAGGTCCATGTAGTGATTCAAGATCCTTCACTCCTTCTCTGTCATTCGGCTTGAAGAGTTAAAAGGCAGTAGCAGACTCCATTCAGGAAGTGACTTTCTAGTTTGCACTCAGAAAACAGACAATTATGATGAAGCATGTGCTTTGATTCCTGAGTAGGATTTCCATATTTACAAATTTCCTTGGGCTAACCTGTGTAAGACCTTCTCACCATTTAAGCAATTGAGCTCACCATTGCCTTTTTCCATGTTTACAGTCTCCCACATCTTCATTGAAGTTATTGTACCTTGGAATTTTTGATCATCCTTGATAAGGACCATATTTTATTCTAATCCTGATTACTGTTGCACAATTGTGTGTTGAGTTTAAGATCAAGATATATTTTGCTTGACATTAAACATTAACCACATATTGAATATCAGCAGATCTGTGTTGACAGTACTATTAGTTGTTATTTGGACATTCAAAGAATTAATAAATAACACGAAGATGGATAACAAGTATTTAATTATTGCAGGAACTGTTTCAGGATTTTTTGGGGTATTCCTTTGATGGAGAAAAGGTGCAACTTCTTATCTTTGTTATTTTAAGGTGAAAAATACATTTAAATGCATTTTTGTTCGTTGGATCCCAACAGATTTTCTTATACACCTCAAAATCTCTCCTGGTTGTTCTGGTTTCATCAAGACAGCAGTGTCTGCAGTTCAGCCAGTTATGCATTACCCAGTGTGACTGATATCTGTAATTAGTGATTAGATGCTGAGTTGATGTTAAACGTGGGTCATCAGGTTGCAGGACTTTATTCAGTCCTGCATCCTCTCTAAACACAATACACCCATAGCCAACCTGAGAAGATAGTCCAGTCTTTAGCAAGGCTGTTCACCCTTAATAAGAAGAAAACCAGAGATCTACCCCACAGCTCTATCCAGATACAAGAGTATAAGTCTCAAGTGTAGTGCTTCTTTGATACTCTGACAATATCGAATACCTTTCTTCTTAATCGGGAGTCATAGCTAGTATGTACAACAAAGACATATCCCAGACCATAAATGAACAAATTCTCTAAAACACACATACATCATTAGTTCATAACTGACAGATAGCCTGCTTCTCAGGCATCATCTGAAGAAGTAACTACACAAAGTTAAAATTATCTTTTCTAAATGTTAAAAATCAACAGAAGAATTGTAGAAAATATTGTGTGAGAGAGAGCTAAACAAAATATTTTAATACCTCCTTTACCAATAAATTGTTACCAACAGGTATATTGCATTTTAAAATTGCAATAATAAGTCTAAAAATATCCTAATATTACACACAAGAATTAGAGACATTTGCATTTGCAATGTTAAAGTAATTTCTTACCTCCGACGGACATCAAATGCTTGCTGAAAAACTGGAAGATGTTTCTTGTTTGGACAGTATCAGAAGACTTGAAAGATAAATCATACATAACCTGATTGCACAAATTGCTTTAAGCAACACCTATTTATTGCAACATGGTTTACACCACTAGTTTAAAGAAAATGTGGAATGAGAGCCAAGAGACTGGTAGAGAAAGAATAATATAATTACTGATAAGGCACTGTCTTTCTGTGGGTCATGTGGAAATAACAGGAGTTATTTTTTAATTTTTTAATCATCAGATGTTCCAAGCAGATTACAAAAGAGGAAAGGATAGTTATCACTGTTTTATTGGTGGGGAAATGCAGATAGAGAAGCAATATAAGTGGAAGCAATTGCCCCGAGTGACTTAGCAGTCTGGAGCAGAGCTGGGACAGCAGCCAATGTGTCATGAGACCTTTTCCAGCAGGTTACCTAATTGGTCATGCTTCCTCTCAGCATGTATCCCACAGTACCACACTGCCTGTTATACCCAATCTGACATGTTTCTGTGAATACACAAGTTCCTAGAACTGGAGGCATTAGAAACATCTGCAGTTGCCCAGCAGGCAAAAGATATGTCCATTGTCTATGAAGGACAGCAGATTTACTCAAAATGGGTGTGCTGGGAAGGCTGACTAACAGGGTAGAGAGAGTGAGTCCCACCATTCTTCACTGTATTGTCAGGGTCTCAGTTTGTTACCACAGGTTCATGAGGCATCAATTCTTTTATGCTCTTAGGAGCAGATGGCCTGCACTGCTCCTTGCTAAAAACCCCTTCTTAGCAGTAACAGAGAGAATCCTAACCACTACCAAATACTCTACATACACCAGGCTAATATACAAAAGGAAAGTTAGTTGCACCCAGCCTTCCTCTCCCTCAAAAGCTCTGGCAACCCACAAGAGGCAACTCATCAACACCCTGTGGCAGTGCCCAGCACGTAGAGCAACCTGGTCTAGTGAAAGTTGTCCCTGACCAAGGCAGGGGGTTGGAACTAGATGAGTTTTAAAATCCCTTCCAACCCAGGCCATTCTATGATTCTGTGATAGTTGTGCTTGCCAGCCAGGAAGCTACTTGCCCCAGCTTGTGTCTGGGAGTGGTTCCTGGGAGCCCACTTCAAAGCAATCCCCATGTATTATGAAGATTTAATGTTGTATTTGTAGCTACCTGTGCAACTTTCTGTTACATTACCAACTTCCTCAGAAACTAGAATTTTCTCCGCTATCAAGGCTCAGAGTTTAAATTAGCAATATAAAAGTGCACTGGTATTTTTATGTACTTTTTGATGGTGAAGGGATGTGATCACATGTTGGGTGAGACAGTCAGCTCAATACATGGGCTGGGTTACAGCTGTGTGGGGACAGCAGACCAGATGGAGAAGATCCTTTGTACCCAGACCCTCTTGAACTCTTCTGTTTCCCTCTCAAAAGTAAAGAAAAACATCAGACTCTCGTCTAAATGCTCAAAAAGTTAAATAAGTATTTTACCCTTTAAACAGGTTCTCTTAAAACGTAGGCCTTTTTCTTTTCTATCACAGAAACCTCTTGATTTGCAACCAACGGTGGATATACCAGTAATGTGTTTGTTAAGTAGCTATGTGTACATTTTTCTTACCAGTTTTCTCTATTGCAGTAGTTTCTTTGCATTTCCATAATGACGAGAGTTCCTACCTGCAGGAGGGAACAAATCGAGTAAATGCTATTGAATAAGCAGCTGTCAGAAAACTAATAGAAACAGTATCTCCTTTTTGCAGCTTACTATATATACAGTGCTATAAGGCTGTGCTTTAAGATATTTGTAGTAATTTGTTAGTTACAATATATCTTTTCCAATACAGTTAGTCAAACCGATTGCTATGTAAGCCTGACCTTGCCCACTGCTTCCCCTGAGACTGTCCGGACCAAAACCGTCATGAACTGCAGAGATCCAGTGTGGAATGAAACATTTTGCTTCAGGATCCAGAGCCAAGTAAAAGTAAGATGCTGACTGCATTTGGTTTTTCTTTGGGGCAGAGATTTCATTCAGTGATCAATATGTAGGGCAAAATAAAAATAAATACATGTGAGGGACTACAAGGATATGGTTAAGGAGATTTGGAGTAGACTGCAGCAGTAAAATTCAATTCGATTTTTTGATATGTAAAAAAATAACCACAATATTTCACAACCATTCATACAATGTTCTACTACTTTTCATTTTTCTTCTTTTTTTTTCCATTTTTTTAACCACTGCTTTTCAAGAGTAAAAGTGAAAATTTCAGAGTAAATTCAATAGTGTAAAACACATATATGAGCTGGGTAGGGGAAGCATCGCGGGGCTGTACTTTTTTACTATTCCTTTGTAATGACTTGCAATAAAAAAAGTTATAAAGTAAACAGTTAAAGTTTGTAAAAGAAAACTAACTGAACTTTTATCACGATGATAAATGTTAAAGCTTTAGAAGATTTGCAAGTCCTACTGTCTACTCCCTCAGAAAGACAGCCTCAACATCAGGGTCTAGCAGTTCACAAAGATCAGTGGTAGGCCAAGTAAACCAAGCTTACTTCATACCTGGGCCAATCCATCTCTGTTTAACAGCCTGCACTGTTCATTTCCCAGTACTGGTGGTAGATCAGGACTCTCTCAAGTGCCAAATCAGCAGGCCAGTCCCCTGGCTCTCTCGAACATCAATAAACTCCTCCAAAAGAGTATTCAGAGTAGCTCAAAGTGTTGCTACATTCCAGTGAACAATCCCTCTTGCCTATGACTGCAGAAGTTGCCCATGATACGTGTTCTCAGGCTTTCTTTCGCAGAGGTTGGATGGTACTGGTCCTGTTTGGTATAGCTTTCAGCTTTAACATGATTGTTCATCTGTACACAGCCAGTGCTTTCCCTGCTGATCTAAAAAAATTCCAACTCCTTTCAAAATGCCAATGAGACACAATTTCACAGTGTGCTGCAGGTTTATCAGGAAGGTGAAAGGCAAGGGAAAAACATTGCATGGGAACAAACACCCACTGATCTGTCACTCTTGCACCAGAGCACCTGCTCATACTGACAGGTTTTTCAAAACTGCATTACCACACAGAAGAGTTAGAAAAATATCTTGGCGACAGGAAGCTGCTTGAGCTAGTCCTTCAGGGAGTAGTATTTGGGAAAACCTTACATTTACGTTACAGTAAGTTTGCAGCAGGAGATAAGACATCTGACATTAGCCCCAGTAATTTTCAGTGTGTGGCAACAGCAGCATGGTGGTGGTGGTGGCTGTGGCTCCAGTGTAGGCTGCACAAGATGTGTCCTGAGCATTTGGGATAGCCAGAGCACTCTGGCACATCTGTCACTGCTGTCTCACTGCTGTCTGGGCTCAGCAGACTAAGTTATGGCTCTTGCTGGTTTCTCTGTATACACTGCAATTGCTCTGCTTGTTACCCTCTGAGCAGAACCAGAGTCTGCTAATCTGGTTATTTTCTCCTTTCCTGTCTTGTGTTTTGTTGAGGTATTCAACTTCCCAAATCACAGTAGCCAGAGCTCAGTAAAACTATATAATACACTACCACTGTGGAAGAGAAAAACCAGTTTGTGTATGTTCTGCTGGTTCTCATCAGGAACAGCGGTGTTTACTGAAGGGCATCTGTTTTGATGAATGTCTGACAGTCAGCTAGAAAGGGCTTCTGAGGCTTGTGCTGAGGGCATGATGCTACAGGAGGATAACCCTTTCCAGAGTTTGTGGCACACAGCCCTGCCAGCTGGCTCTGCTCATTGCCTGGCTCCCAACGATGCCCTTTCAGGAGCAGATAGAAACAGCGAACTGCCCAGACACCCCTGGCTGCTTCCCACACAGCATTGCAGTGGTGCAGAGGGAGATCCCCCTTAGCCATCCAGCATCCTACGCATGTCCCTCCTGGCTAGCTGGGAGTAACTGAGGGACTCAAATCAGTTGGTCATTAAGAAAATAAGTCAGTCATTTTAGTCAAGTATGGATTGTCTATTGCAATATCACAACTATGAAAACTGATCTGTTCTTTAGTGCAAGCCTGTCTTGTACTAGCTGTAAAGTATTGCTTTAAAGCATAACCCCTCCATCACCTTCCATAATCCTTTGCAGGCTATTTATGGCTGGCCTGTAAACTAAGTTGCGGTGGCTGCTTCATTCTACCTCTTGTTAGTATTGTGTGGTGGGCAGGACTGACTCTGTCAGTCCCAAATAAAGTTGTTTTTCTAGCTGAGGCACAGTGTGATGCATTTACATATGTGGCCTTAAAGGTCAACAGCCTTTCTGCCTTCTGACATTAAACTGTAAACTCAAGGTCACTTGCCATCTCTCACTTCCTGGTTTCTTATAGAATGATAGATGTCAAAATTTCTTACAGAATGATAAATGTCAAAATTTCTTACAGAATGATAAATGTCAAAATTGGATACTTGAGTTCTGGAGTGTCTTCCTTCAGTATATTTGTCTATTCAATCACTTATTTAGATTTCAGTGTGGACCTTTCTGTGATACGTTATGAACTTCTAAAGCAACAGAGTTCACATGCTTACTCTTTTTTATCTATGCATTTGTGTATAAGATCATGTGTCTACCTTTGTGTCTTTAATAAGCATCAAACCTCTTAGCAAGTTTCAGTTAAATCTGGTGCACAAATAAGAATCTGAGATAAGCACTCCCTGTAATTTATATGAAAATGAGCTGCTGAATATATTGAGAGAGGTCTTAATTATTGCCCTACTGGGAAAACAGCAGTTAATGTTCATTTGCTCAGTGATCTGGGAGGCACTTCTGAGCCAGCCCATGTCCAGATACCAACTAGGCACAGGAGTGGTTGTTACCCTCTCCTGTCCATCCAAAGAGGCAGATGACAGTGGGGGGAGAGGAGGAGATTCATAAAGTGGGATTTGTGCAATTTAACAAAAAGATATCAGTTTCTGTAGATTCCATGGTAATTATCTGCATGTGATCTGTTTAATAATTTACAGGATAAAATTATGCAACTATGTAGTAGTTATATGGTACATCCTTAAGAAATTTTAATTGCTGCTTATATCCATGGATTTTTTTGTTCCACCCATAGCAATAAAGTCCTGACTGCTGGCTGGTTTCCTACAATTCAGGGTAAAGTGGTGACCTCAAACCAAATTAGAGGCCAAACATGTTTTTCAATATGGAAGCTCAATATTCAATGATTCTACTAGCCTTTGTCATTTAAATTACTCTGCAGGGGAAATCAGCAACAAACCCAACTCTGTCTTAAGTTCAGAATATTTTTCTTCATCTCTGTGTGGATGTAAAAGTTGCACGTGATCTCTCACTTCTCCCCATCCTTTCTCTCTCTTCCCTAACATGCTGAGCACGTCACCTTATGCCTCTGTAAGGTCTCAAATTAAGATCCTAATTCAGTGCCTCTATTTGCAGAATATTCTTGAGATGAAAGTCTATGATGAAAATGCAGTCACTAAAGATGACCTCCTCTTCACTGTTCTCTTTGATATTGCTAAAATCCAGCTTGGAGAAACTGTTCGCTTGACTTTTCAGCTGAATCCAAAGGTGAGGGATAAAACTGCCTTGGCCACAGGAAGGAAATACATTTTTTGATATTACCTTTTAAGTTCTTTTGAAGCAATTGTAGGTGGGAGGGTTTATTTCCTACTGGTTTGCACTTCATATATCCTGAAAGTCCTGAAAGTACCTTCCGAACCCTACTCAGCAAAGCAGACAAAGTTTGCCTCCCTATCTTGAACATAATCCTGAAGGCTTTTACTAGCTCCTCAAGCCTCTTAAGCAGGTTTTTTTCTGACACCAGAGTTCCCTCTTCCCTCCTCTTTCTTGACTCTGTTGCTCAAATAAGTTTCATTGGAAATACAAAACTTCATTACCTTCAACAAAGTTCCTCTGTTAGAATTTCTTTTCCTTGCACCAGCACTTGTGAGTTTGGTCATACTCTGGCACAGATGTATTCACTTAAACTGATACCCTGCCCTGTAATTCTTTTGTATATACCTGAATATAACACAGATATCCGTACTGAGATGCTAAAATCTGTTGATGGCCAATTGCTCAAACTATCTCATTATTTCAGTGTGCCTGAACACATAGGTGATGACTTTAACATGGGATACGGGTATTCCATTTAGATATGACTATAGATTTGCTGTTTCACTGACTTTTCTTATAGGGTATGTATGGGTATTCAACTCTACAGTGATTTCAGAAGGCTGTCTACCTTAACTTGTCTGGTGACTGGTCAGTGTATTTTCTGTGTTATAGGAGTTCTTTTGATCAGAAGAATTAAGAATACCCTCTTCTATACAACAGTATCAGTCTTCTGATAACATTACATAGAAAAAAACCAAGGCTTTATACATTTTTAAGCCAACAGTATTGCAGGTTTAGGACTGCCTGCCATTTTATTCTACCTCACCACCAAATGGAAAAGAGCAGTTGGCCTGGGAACTGATGGCTAACACAGGAGGGAGAACACTTTTCAAAATCACTTTAACTCGATTGCTTTCACTCATCTTAGTATACCCTAGAGCTGGAGGAAAATTTGATTTGACTGAAGAACTGTTTCAAGAGCTAGAATAATCATTGACAACCAGCTAGTGAGAAAGAAAATTTAATTCAGATGCTTATAATAAATTAATCTTTTACAGACACAGGAGACGTTAGAGGTTGAGTTTACATCTGAGAGCATGTGAGTAAAATCCATATGGAACCAAAAAACTGTCCTTTGCAAGCAAACACATGTTAACATTTAGTATAATACAGTTTAAAATGCTTAGCATCACAGTAATTGCTGGTATTGATCAAGTTAGTTGCATATTGGCTAAAACTCTGTGTTCCTTATCTACCAAGAATCATACTGGTTATTAATTTATCCCATTATTTTCTGGAAGAGGGAGAATGGTAATGAGAAGTTCAGTCATTTAAAAATATGGAATACATATTTCAGATGCCTCCCAAAACTAAAAATCAGTGACATGTTGGAGACTATGCTGGCCAAGAAGAATTTTAAGGAATGTATTATTCTTTGATGTTCATGTAAGGATGTATTTAGGTCATATTAGTTCTAATTGCATTCTTTTTTCTCTTTCAGTCCAGTGCCTCCTGAAAAGCTTGTCACTAATGGTGTATTAGTGGTAATTTTAAACTATTGCTTTTCTATCTTTGTTTTCATGATAGTGATGGGACGTGGTGAATCTGGCTGGTGTCCCAACACCTCTCTGCAGGCAAGGCTGAAGGGGAGGGAGGTGGGAGTCAGACAGGCATCCATCCTGTTGTGCTGCTCCCTGTGGTAGGATATATTAGGAAAGAATGTACACAGTCATTTGTGATACCAGAGATCTGTTCACCACCACCAGCTGATATCAAGCCTCTTAACAAAGCCTGAAGTGCTCTTTCAGTGACTTACTGCCTCTGTGTTATTCCTTCTGGGGACTTCCTTTGTGACTCCCTCATGGCCATCCTGTTTACCCAGCTTCCATAGGATGACATGGAAATTGCTTCCTCAGCTTCCCCTAACTCATTATTTACAGGATATAGTGCTTGGCTGTCCAGCTTCACCAAAGCAGGGCTGCAAGGACAGCTCTGTGATTTGGCCAACCCATCAGTTTACCCTTGGGAGGCCTCAGCACATTCCTATTCCCTCTCCTGTTATTTTACCTCTCTTCCCATCCTTGGGATGGTGCTTGGATGAACAAAGCACCACAACAATTTTTCATTCAGCTGAAACTTGATGCATTTTCAGAGTGCCAAAGTCTTTCTCTTATCAGCCTAACAAACACAGGGTGAACAGTTTTCCTGACTCCAGGGAGCCAGGTGACCAAAGACAGGTAGCAGTGAAGTGAGTCAGAGATGGCATGTTTTAAATACTTATCTCATTGTTCATCCCTGCTACAGGCTCGTGAAATTTCCTGCTTGGAAGTCCTGGTGGACAACAGATGGATGAAGAAAGAAACTTCAGGTTAGACTTCAAACTAGAAACAAAAAACTGAAAATTTTTTTTGTTTTGTTTTGTTTTTGTTATTTTCTTATCCAGTAATTTTCCTATTTTGTTCTTAAAATGAAGCACAGGAACTGGATGATTAGGGGTCTATAGACAGGTTCACAGATACAACAATTACAGTGTGTCTGTGGTAACTAATTATAAAAACTGGACTTTGAAATTAAAGGGAATGATTAGAGAGACAATGGATCTTAGAGGTGCTGTAAAATAGCAGTAAATATATATTTCTATCTCAAGTTAAATTTTGCCCAGTTGCCTGTATGTCTCAGTTTTTAGCAGTTACTGCTGGTCTATAAACTCTTTCATGTCTTATGGTTTGTTTTTGTTTGTTTGTTTGTTTTCTTCTCCTTCTTCTTCTTGCAATGTTCCCTTGATGGATAAATAGTTTGGGGGGTTTTAAACATTGTTGAAGAGTGTGTATATATATATATATATATATATATATAAATGACAACTTATGAATGACCATTTAAAGTTCTGTTTCTAGGATCATAGTCATTAATTTCTCTGTATGCTTTTCATGATTTTTTTTTTAGAAAAAGACTTCTTGTTTTCAGTGAAGGGATCCTATGAAGAGAGCCAGATACTGTCTCTGGGCTCTTTCTGGCAACCTGTGAAGTCCCTGAACTTTCATTACATCAAGTACAACCTGTCAGAGCTGCACATGGCTCTGGCAGAGAAGTCTCATTTCTACTCGGTATGTGATCATTAGCTTGAGTAAGCACAGTAAATTCATGGTTTTCTACACTCAACTGAGGCAAATGGAAAGATGTATTTTTAATTAAGAGCCATCTTTCATGAAATTCAGCTCTGGAAGAGCACTGTAACCTCTAAGACATCTAAATATTAGATACCAACTTGAAAACTGAATGGGGAACTCATATAAGAAGTTGGAGACAGTAAATTTTTTATGGTGTGTACATTAAATACTTTTCTACATCATGATTTATTTTTCAGTGTACTTCAGGTGAAAAGAAAAAAGACTGTCATGCATCCCTCACTATTCCTCTGGATTCACTTCCATTCAATGAGAAAGTGGCAGTAGCAAAGGTGATTGATACCCACTTCTTTGAATAAATGTGAAGCTATGGACCAAAGATTAATAGGCATGAGTTAATTAGATCAGTGTGAAGTAAGGGTCTAGATACATAGCTACAAGTGCCTTTAGATTCCTAACAGAGAGGATTATGGACCTGTACATTTTCATAAGAACCAAGTAGAACCAAAAATCCCAGCCAAATGTTTGACAGAGGGATTTCTGTGACTAGCTGGGGGACTAGTGCAGATCAGAGCAAGTGCAAATGGTGAGGCAGAATGGAACACATTGGCAGAGCTGGTATTGGTTTTTACCGTAGATTGCTCTTTTTATCTTTAGTATAAAACAATATAAATAAAATGGGGTGGATTTGGAGGAGTTTTAAAAATTAGATGGATTTTCTGATTGGTATGGATTTGTGGCTCAACATGGCTTTTAGAAAAAGGGAAGGGCTTCAGAGCTGACTGAAAGGAAAGAACATAAAATAATGTCCAGTGCTTATATTGTGGTTTTGCTTTTTTCCTAGGATGAGACAATCAATTTACATATGAAATCAAATGACTGGTAAGAAATTCTGCCTTTGGGTTTTGTGGTTGTGAAAAAAAGATATTGCACAGTTTTTTGCCTTATTACCTTTTTCTCTAACTAAGAAGAAAGCATTCAGTCAATGATTATTTTTACCTACTTACCCCAAGTTTGTTACCCATGTCCAGAAGGTGGTAAACTGTGCTGGGTGAATTTTCCTGTTATGCTACTATAGAGAAGTTCAGTTTGGTTGGAGAGAATAATGTTTTCTAGCTGCAAAATCTGTAGAGCTATGAGTTTAGAAAAATATGTTTATACTTCACTTTCCTTACTTGTAAAAAATCCAGAGTATTTGTATTTGTAAAATCCAGAGTTCCTAAGGCAACAAATTCTAAATATTCCACTGTTTACAGTATCCATATGTGAATCGCAGTATTTATGTTAGATACTTCTTGAAAATCAGTGTAGTAAGAAAGAATACTTTTGTTGCTTTCTGTAAGATTTTGCTACTTTTTACACTTTCTCAGCCTTGTCTCTACCTTATTTATACTATCTCTGATATACTTTTGTTGGGCCACAGTAGCAGCATTTCTAAGCCTAATAATACAGTCATGACTTGTAAGCATGGGTACAGACATTAATTTTTAGTGATCATGCCCACCCTATTCAACTCTGGACTTTGTTTGAGGTCACGAAACTTAGATGTTCGTTTGGAGTTTGATCTGTGTAAGGAGGAGAAAAATTTCCTACAGAAAAGGAAGAAGTTTGTGGCTTCTGCTCTGAAAAAAGCACTTCATTTAGAGCAAGACCTTCAAGATCATGAGGTATGGGGAGGACCATAGGGACTGTAACATGTTGTGTAACAGGAATGTGTTATTCTTGTAGGCATTCACATATTATTCCTTAACTATCCCTCATACATTCACTGCCCCACATAAAGCATTGAGAAATGTTTAAATGAAGCAATGTGAGAACCAGGGTAGTATCAAACTCTCTTAGCCCATATTTATCCAGAAAATAGAATGCCATAAATCAGCATTTTTTGCCTTTGATTTTTGCTTTATTTATATTTCATCTGTGAATTATAGACCTGAATAGTCCTACTCTCTTAGCTGACCATTCAGTCACCAAGGCCGCGTAAGGTATTTTATATAATCGGATTTTTGGAGGGAGAAAATCTAACAGTTAAAATGATACATAACACTGGCTGATGAGGTTTCTAATCATAGACTCTCTTCTCTGGTGATCATCATCTCAGCTGTAGTTACTCAAACAACACAAGACACTGAACATTTTTCTCTGATCTGTTTGTCTGAGTCAGTGTTTGTATTATTTCGGCCCATGCTGGCATGGGGATGGTTGGAGCTTCAGGGCAGGAACATGATCTGTGATCAGGAACTTTGGAAATAAAGAAGTTTTCATTTTGAGACTGGTTTTCTTTCATCTGTGTTTTTCACTTTGTCCAGGACAGGTAGACCAAAGACATGTTAGGCAATGCATGACAGCGTTGCTTTGGACTCCATAAATGATGCCTCTGCTCACAAACTGATCATATTGTTTCTCACTGACACACTAATTTCAGTGAAAAAACCCAGTTTCCTAAGTATAAGAATTTTTTAAGGGGAAGTAGTTCTAACTACTAATTCCAGATTTTCCAGCAAGAGAATATTTCCTTATAGTCAGATAAACCCAAATCAAAATTCTTTGCTTTGACCTGAAATGTTCGATTTGAATCAGGAAACAGTTGAATATTTCTTTGATGCAATTGCCTGGAAATGTGCGTAGGAAATGTCAATTGGCTCATCTTCTCTCAGTGGGGTTCCTTGGAGGAATTTGTCTTCCTGTAACACAATTGAGATTTCCATGCAATTAGGCTTCATCACTGCGATTATATACTCTAGGTACGTTATAGGAAATGTAATCTAGCCTTTATATTTTATTTACAAGAGAGGATGAGCTCTGCTTGTTCTCAAAATACAGCTCTCATGTGATGATATTTTGCTAAGGAAAATTCAGTCTAATATTGAGATGCCTGGAAACCATAAGTTTTGAGCTGTTTTGATAAGCCAGCATGCAACAATTTAGAATAAAAAATGATTGATTTTAATCAAAATCCTCAAAATCAGCTATTTAAATTTTTTTTTCTGTGCAAAATACCCAGTTTTCATCTTTTTACCCCTGACTTGGGGAAATGGTGAAATGTTGGAATTTCTTGTGGGACTGAAATGTTACAATTTATTCAGCTCTGATCATATGTGCTGGTAAAAAAGGTGTTGCTTACCACTGCTGTGTTGATGTTTAAACAGGTACCAGTTGTAGCAGTCATGACAACAGGAGGTGGCACCCGGGCACTGACATCTCTGCTAGGCAACCTGTTGGGTCTTCAAAAGCTGGGTCTCTTGGATGCTATTTCATACATCACTGGGTCGTCTGGTTCAACATGGTAAGGAGATCCTGAACATAGACATCATTCATCACTTCTGTAGCCTGCTATGTAAGTTATTTATCCTCTTCATTTTGGTAAAGAAGGGTGTACTGGTTCAGTCTCAAGCTTTTTTCATTGCTGCATTAGAAGCACATTGCCTGAGCCAGTGTAGGCACTGCTTCCAGGGAACAATTTCCTTGACTTTTTGTTTCAGCTCTAGGATCTTTCCTACTGAGTCACTCTAGTGCAAATCACAGCCTTGTGCATAAACCTTAATAGCAAGGAGGGGTTTTTTGCAAGTCTTCAGGTTTCACCAGTGGTTTGGGAGAGTCCTCTAACTCAAAAAATCTTTTCAATGATAAACTGAGCCCAAAAGGTGTTTTTAATGAACCTCAGTGAGTTCATTTGATGTGGACCTTAAATCTAAGTCTAAAAAGTGGAATGGATCGCAAGCATATGACAATGTACTTCCTTTCTTTTCTGCAGGACTTTGTCACATTTGTATCAGAGCACTGAGTGGTCACATAAGGATCTATCCAGACCGATTGGTGAAGTCCGCAGACATATGACCAAATGCAAGCTAAGCTGCTTTTCCCTGGAAAGCTTGAAATACTATGCCAAGGAGCTAAAACTGCGGAAGCAAGAGGGTTACCAGATCTCTAGTGTTGATTTCTGGGGGCTTCTTCTGGAAAAAGCATTAAGTGATGGGGTAGCGTTTTCCCTAACAGCTACTGAATACTGTTGTATAGAATATGAAGCTCCAGGGACAGATGTTAGCCTGAGAGCATGCCAGCATTATCCAGCAGATGATTTCTGTGGAATAACAAAAGGGTTTTAGAATTGTTGAGGTTGGAAAAGATCTCTGAGAACATCAAGTCCAATCATTATCCTGTCACTGTCATGTTCACTGCTAAACTGTGTCCCCAGGTGGGACATGTACATATGTTTTGAACACTTTCACAGATGGTGATTCCATCACTTCCCTGGGGAACCTGTTCCAGCCTTCCAGTGAAGAAATTTTTCCTAATATCCAATCTAAACCTTTCTCAGCAAAATTTAGAGTCCATTTCCTCTTGTCTTATCACTTGTTACTTAGAAGAAGAAACCAATCTCCAGTTGTCTACAACCTCATTTCAGGCAGTTGTAGAGAGTGATAAGGTCTCCTCTGAGCCTTCTTTTCTCCAGGCTAAACAAGCCCCAGCTCCCTCAACCACTCCTCATAAGACTTTTTATCTAGACCCTTCACGATCTTTATTGCCCGTCTCTGGACATGCTCCAGCACCTCAGTGTCTTCCTTGCAGTGAGAGACCCAAAACTAAGCATAGTACTCGAGGTGCAGCCTCACAAGTGCTGAGTACAGGGGGACAATCACTGTCCTAGTCCTGCTGGCTGCACTATTTCTGATACAGGCCAGGATGCCATTGGCCTTCTTGGCCACCTGGGTGCACTGCTGGCTTGTGTTCAGCCAGCTGTCAAACAGCACCCTCAGGTCCTTTTCTGCTGGGCAGCTTTCCAGCCACTCTTCCCCCAGCCTGTAGGGCTGCATGGGGTTGCTGTGACCCAGTTGCAGGACCTGGCCCTTCACCTTGTTGAATCTCATACAGTTGGCCTTGGCCCACTGATCCAGCCTGTGCAGATCCCACTCTAGAGCCTTCCTACCCTCCAGCTGATCAACAGTCCCAACCAACTTAGTGTCATCTGTAAACTTGCTAAGAGTTTTTTCTCCACATATCTCTTAATGCATAATTAGCAGCTGAAAGGGTATTTCATAGGGCAGAAAACCTGTGTCTCCTTCTACAAGTAGGAGTATCTGAGCACCTAACTGCAGAGTTCTTACTTGGTTTCTTTTCCTCTGTTCCTCCTTGTGAGAACTTAAATATCCATGTAAAGTGGATGTCTTTACTGGGAAGAACAAGAGACCATTTTTTTCAAAAAGTGTCCTACAGCTCTATCTGTAATTAAATAAGCTGATGTGGATGTGTAAATGTTTAGATCACTCCTTGGTTAAAAAATGTTTGGACACAAAAGGACTATAGAGGATGAGGAAATTAAGAGGGAAACAGATATTTATTTTACTGTAATCTTGCAAGCCCATAGACGATGACATGAAGGTCCCTTGATTTTGCCCTTTGTCTCTCATCAATTCACAGAAAAATAACCACAAACTCTCAGATGAGCGACAGGCATTGAGTCAGGGTCAAAATCCCCTACCTATCTACATGATCCTGAACATCAAGGAAGACTACAGCCTTTCAGAGTTCAAAGGTGATGGCAAACCTGGGCTCATTCGGTGTTTAAATGATCTGCATTGTCAGTTACTGCATATGCTGCAACCTCTTGTACTGCTGAACCATAGCTTTTATAAACAGTTTCTTTTCTTCCTTAACTTCTTTTTCAATTTCTAAATTTTGTGTCTAGGCTCTGGGAGGAATTCATCTTCTAGGGGGCATGAGAAATCTTGGGGAAATGTTTAAGGACCGCCAAGGTACTTACAAACCTTAGCTCCGCATGTGGGGTAACAGGCTGATCCCTTTTGATATAAACTTCACTTATGTTCTTTGTGGAGAGGATCATTGGAAAGTTCTGAATGAACAAGATTGGGAAAGATTACTGAGTGAGCAGCTGAAACCAGTTGAATGATACCTCCTTACCCTGAGGAGGGCCAGGCTGTGGTTGCCTTGACAATAGGGTTTGTCCTGCAGCTGCTTTTTTACCATTTCAGAGCCCTTCCTGCAGGGAAGTAGGGATAGGAATGAGATTTTAAAGCTTGTTTCATGTCTCTGCAGAATGGGTGGAGTTCACCCCTTATGAGGTCGGGTTCTTAAAATATGGTGCCTTCATTCGCGCAGAGGATTTTGGCAGTGAGTTCTTCATGGGTCGCCTTATGAAGAAGCTCCCAGAATCCCGCATTTGTTTCATGAAAGGTGATGTGCTCCATTGCAAAAATTTGAATTGCATAAAAATGTCCTTTATTTTTAAAATAATGCAAACCCTGCATATTGCAACCAGTGCCCAGCATCATGCAGAACCGAAAGCAATTGTACACCATGTTGGTCTCACCTCTGACTGAATTCCTTAAACACTGGCGATGAGCTAAAAAATACTTAGAGGAAATTTCAAATCACATTGTTCACTGTTGCTTTTGTATTGAACAGTGACTCTCATGCCCTGAAGTTTCAGGGCTGCTTGAAAAGGTTAGGCTCCTTTTGAACCAGTCAGCAGTAGAGTTACACAAAAAACCTTTGTATTTTGAAACTGTAATCTTAAAATCAAATTGTTACTGAGTTTATCATAAAATATGGCAATTTTTAGTAGTTTTCTGAACTGCTACTGATATTTTTTCAAGTTTAATAGTAGTCTAAATCCTTTGCAATTTTGCTATCATGATAAGTCAGTGAATTTTATCACTCTTATTTCAATAAAGTAGGTAGCATCCAGCAATGTATGGAAAACAGCTTTATGGCTTTTAGGGAATTCTTCTTTTAATTTTAGCTAATACTGGAAATCTCTATTACACCCCTTTGTACATTCATTCTCTGCGGTGCAGTTGTCTGTAGACAAGTCTGTCTACTCTTAAACCCTTAACAACAGATATTTTACATGTAAATAAGCACATCACCCAACAGGACAGCAAAGATACTGGCAAGAAATGGTTTACTTATAAAGTGAAAAATCCATGCAATCAGCAATACCATGTAGTATTCCTTATTTGGTGTTCATCCATTGCAGTTTCTCAATAACAGTGGGGTAGTGTATTCATACCTGAGGTGTCCAGATAGCAAGCACACCCAACACATCCAGCCTGGGCAGAGCTTTCTTCTCAACCTTAGCACCTGAGGCAGATGACCCCACAGCCACAGGTGTATCTTTATAAAGGATAGGGTGGAGAGTTAAAGCAATGTTGCCATCTAGCGATACCACATGCAATGCCCTCTTGGGTTACGATTAAAATGTACTATTAGTGATAGCATGATCGTTTAAGGATAAAAGCAAGATGTCATTTGCAGAAAGAGAAAAGACCTTTTATAAGAGCAGTGGCTAGAGCTGGAAAGACTGGGTGAGCTTATGGGGATACAGGACCCTCAGGTTTCCAGAAGAATGCTTGGGGTGTATGAGAGCTTGTCTGGTCTTTTCAACTCTGTCAGCCTAGTAAAAGATACTGTTTCTCTCCATAGTTCTTACTTCAGCAAATATAAGTACCAAGAAAATTCAGTGCAAGAGGTTAGGGCAACATTGCTGCTTAATTATAACCAAATTCTGGAGAAATAGCAATGTTTGAAAGACATTAAAATGCAGAAACAGTGTCCCAGAACTGAGGGAGCCAGAAGAGTTATAGAGTGAAAAGACACCAAGAGAAGACAGGAAAAACCGGAGGAGTTGCCTTCTCACAGCAGGGCTGAACAGAAGCTTCTCAAGCTGCAGAGAGAGGAGGTTGTCTTGACAGAAACTAGCCAGTAATTATATGAACTCTGGTTCCCACCTCTAAATGTAGAGCCAGCGAGCCCTAATGTGATTTCTTAATTTTGTATTTTTAACATTTCTTATGTCAGTCCTATTCTTACAAGGACTTCCTATGAAGCAGATCCTTGGCTTCCCGTCCCACTTCATGAACAAACAATGTTTAAAAGGGAATTTTATATCTGTTACTAATTCATGGAATGAATAATTATTGTATTGTGCAACTCAAATTATTGCGTCCTTTGCAATGTATGGCTTTTGCAAAGCTTTCACTGCTGGAGACTTTCAAGGCAAAGCGCAGCACTGCCTTCTTCCTCTCAGGGCCTGTGGCAGAGTTGTGGAGGAAGAAATACTTTCCAAGATCCAAGAGACTTTTGGAGATTTCTGCACTGTGGAGATATTTTTATATGTTTTTTAAGTGGGAGAGAAAAAGTGGAAGAAGCACTATGGGGATGACAATAACGAGGAGAGGAAGAGAAGTCTCATTCACAAGACCTTGTGCAAAGAGAAATCTTACAAGGGACAGTGAAGATGTCTTTAATTAAGGACAATCCCAAATTGTGCTCTAACTATTTGACTCTTAGCAGTCCAGGAGCAGCTTCCAAACTTTAACTGAGAATCCACTTGTATATGACATACTTTGTAGACCAGACCCTTATTTTATAGGAAATGATGTGGGTTTGCTCTCTGATGACAATTGTTTATAGGATGGAAAATGTTAGTTTGTATGTGGCAATGAATTATAGTGGCTGAAGGCCTTGCACAATGTTTTAAACTATTTAGGTTCCTCTTTGAGGACAAAATGCTAGTTGCTGAAAAGAACTTCATACAGATTTTGGTGATAATTTGAAAACCTTGAGGCTTTCCAATACCCCTTGCAAAGCTGAGAGTTTATTTTTTTTTTTTTTAGGGATATTTCCCATTAAAATGTTTCTGAAGAAGTTTCCCTGTTCTCTACCATTGCACAGGTCTATGGAGCAATGTCTTTTCCTACAATCTTTTGGATGCTTGGCATTCGTCAAATCCTACAGAAAGGCGCTCACTGAGGTGTACCCAATACAAGGCTGTTGATGTTGGTTAGTAACATTGCTGTTTTATCTCATAAATTCCAAGATTTCATGTTGCCAGCTACATCTAACTAGGTTTCCCCGCTGAATACTTTCATAGCAATATTATTTCCATTAGTCTCCTTTGGACTGAATTTATGCAAATATGAAACTACTGAAGTTTATAATTAGTCTTTACCAGGGGCCCTTCAGTGAACCTTCATGTTCCAACAAACTTCTCAGTGCTGTGTTCTCTGTCTGCCTCAGCAGATGGTGCTTTTCTTATGTTGTTGTTGAAGACTTAGATATAGCAATTATGTGGAGCTCCATTCCAATTTTCTTTGATCTTGCTGTAAACCTGTGTTTTCCTTAGAGGTGTTGACTGTCCTTTTGTTCAAATGTGGTTAGTGAGTTTGGTTTACGGACTTTTCATCAGTTTCTCCATGGAAGTGTTGCAGAATCCTGAGCTCAATAAATGCCTGTGATAGAAAGGCCTTCTTTCCCAACTTGATAAGGTGCCATTTAGCACAACCCTTTTTCTATGCTCTTTTCTGGATGTCTAAGTCTCCAGACACTTTTTTTTTTTTTTCAAAGTCAGTTTGTATCAATTTTGAAAGAAATCTGTCCAGATTCTCAGCCTACCCTGAGCTTCACGCAGGGAGTCAGCCCATGGGTTCTGTCAAACAGCTTTAGCAAGTTTGTTGCCATTTTGACTCTGTTTTTCATGGAATATGTTTTAATGAAGATTGATTTCCTTCTTGTTCCTACTTTGACATTTATTTAACTGTATGTTGCCATGTCTTATTAGGATCTTCTTTTCTCTAGCAAGTATTAAATGCCTTCTGATATTTTAAGTATTGCAAAGAACTGTATCAAAACAACAATTTGTTCATCTTCTCTACCCTTCTGGAGATGAACCCTCTCCACCAGATGGGAGCCATGAGTTGGAGACTTACTTAGTGACCCCTGAGTGTGGCGTCGTGGGCATTATTCGGCGGCTGCTGACAGAGCGGGTGATTTTTTCGAAGTTCTACAACTTCCTGAAGGGGTTCCAAATGCACAATGCATACCTTCAAAGCAAAAACTTCTGTATGTGGAAAGGTAAACATCCCTGAATATTATTTGTTACCTTCTTAAATGGTTGGTGTCTTCATCAGTGAAGGCAGAGGATAAACATTTGAAAACAAATGTTTCAATATAACTATTTACATTTCATCCAGCCAAATCAGCTTCAGGAATTCCCTTGATTCCAGGGAAAGGAAATTACTGCTTATCGGAGTGAAAGAAGAGCAACAAGAGAATTGAAAGAGCTTTGTCTTTTTACCTTGAACAGATCTCTCTTTTCTGTGTCAAGTTTGAGCTTCTGTAGTATGCCAAGATCTTGGAAAGAAAATGTAATGGGGAGTCAAGAGTCATTTTTCCTCCCTTATTAGTCAAACAACAGATATATTACTTCTTCAGTGAATCACTCATTGTAAAAAATATTTCCTTTTAGATACTGTACTAGAGCATTTCCCCAACCAGCTGACAGAAACAGCAGAGTTCATGTGCCTGGCAGACACGGCAGGATACATCGATATTAGCTATCCACCACTCATGAGGTCGGAGAGGAAAGTGGATGTTGTCCTGCACTTAAACTATTCTTCAGGATCACAGACACTGGTGCGATGACCGCTCTATTTTTTTATAATGACTGCTACCTTTTAGTCCTCTTAGCCCTCCTTAAAGTTCTGAGGATTCAGAATAATTTATGTAGAATAAACTGATGGGAGAGAAGGATTCTTGGTCTGCAGATTCCATTGTGCCTAGGTGTCTCAAGTAGTGCTGGTAAAACATGGCAAATCTCCTAAAGAGAACAGAAGTAGTATCAGTTGTTCTAAATATTTTATTTGAATTAACCCTCTAATAGCTAAATGCTATCTCCTAGACATGTGTGCTTCTGTGACCTTGATATGGCTATCAAGACAACACTTCACATGGAGTGCTTAACTGGTACTAGTACCACCACTGATGAACTCATTTGGGTTGTCTTGTGATATCCATCTAAAGTTACCCACATGCAATATAATTAGAAGTAACTTGTCCAGTTGTCCTTAGAACAGTAACTGATTATTTTGTTGTTGTTCTAAATTGTGGAAAAGAATTGTCCTTTGACACCATATCTGCTGTTTCAAATACCAGCTAATAATCTGGTATATAATTCTTGTTACTAGATATGGATAAGACAGAAGTTCTTGAAGATTAAAATTTTCATATGTGCCAACCAGACTCAGAAACAAAAATCCTACTTTCAAAAATTACTGCAAGATTAATATTTCAGTTTAGATGGTATTTGCTCCCAGATCACTCTTTGCTTACATCACTTTTCAGAACCATCCTAAGGGCTCTAAGACAGTTAGAGCCTTTTAAATATTTCATACTGAGTCAAAAAAGTAGTTGTGCTTTTCTGAATCTGCGTTTAAAAACCATGCTATTTCAGATTCCTGTCCATTCTACTCATTTCAGGATTTTCTCCAAGAGAGGTGTGTTTCTGTGTCCTAAGCTTCTAGGCCACCCTTCCCACAGCCTTGAACATCTTACCTATCTTGTAGGTTAAGGCTGTTGAGGAGGGTGAGGTAGAACAACCATCAGGAGTACAAGTTGGAGGCTGAGCCTTGAACTGTTGTTCTGTTAATAATTAGAACTTAATATCTCACGTAAGAGACAAAGACAGAAGAAATATTGACAGCAAACCCTGCTCTCGTATCTTTTTGAAGATCTTTTGATGGATGCATTGTGCACTAGGAAAAGTGGTGGGATGTGGCAGAATTTCTGACCTTTTCTTTTTTTTTCTGAATTCAGCCTTTGGAAGAAGCCTCCAAGTACTTCCAAAAACAGGGAATCCCATTTCCCAAAATCCACATGAGTGAAGAAGAAAAGAAAAATCTAAAAGAGTGCTACATCTTTGAAGACACAGAGACCCCAGAGGCACCAACAGTGGTGTTTTTCCCACTGGTGAATGACTCCTTCAGAAAATACAAAGAGCCAGGTAAGCATTGGGACAGAGATGGTCCTCCCACCACCTGCCTGCCTTTTGGCTGTGTTGGGATGGGAGACATGGTCTAGCGTGGTCTCCTCCCTCCCCTGCTGTCCTTCCCATGGGAGAGAAATGCAACTGTCAAGGCAGTGAGGAGTAACTTGTGCTCCACCTGGAAAGTGGGAGGTGGGACCAAATCTCTACCCCACTGATAACCTTTTTTTATTTGTTAGGTGTGGAGCGCAGCCCTGCTGAGATGGCGCAGGGCAACGTCGATGTTTCTACCATTTTTTCCCCCTACTGCTTAAACAGCTTTACCTACACAGGGGAGGACTTTGACAAGCTGATAGAACTGACCAGCTACAATATTCAGAACAACCAACACCTGATCCTTCAGGCTTTGAATTCAGCCATAGAGCAGAAACGACAGTGCAAAAAATAAACACTCTCCTGAGTTTCAGAAAAATACCTGTATGATTTTTTTTCTTCCTGCAAAAGAATCAAGACCTGTCTGTGAATGAGCACAATAAACTTTGGAAACTTACAGACTTGTGGTTTCTCTCTACCACATGGCAATCCTACATAAACCAACCAAACAAAATAATGATTAGGCTTGTGCTTTATTTATCTGGGATTTCACTGCTGGTGAACTTTTTTTTTCATGCATATATGTGTATACGCAGTAAATTAAAAATTAGGAAATATAGGGTTTACTGGAAAGTTTTTTAAATGCATGAAGCTGGGACAGCAGTACAAATTCTTTCAAAATTCGCTACACTGCCAGAAGTTATGTGCAAAGTGAAGACAAATTAGCTACAGATATTTAATTTATTACAAATCTAGCGCAACAGAATAAATACATAATAAAATTAGACAATTTCAAAGAACATGAAAACTATATTTTCCATAGTGTCAGTAAGAAATTTTGTTAGAAATAATGTGCCAAGCTAAACATAAAAGATAATCTGAGATTTCAGATTTTCTGTACTTCCGAATGTAGAATCTTTATTACACCAGCAGTATTTAGTTTTTGAAAATCTCTTGGAACTACTGTTTCAAACTGTACTGTGAGTCAGGATCAGCTCTTCTAGTGCAGGCGTAAGTGCCTAATCCAGGGTTCTGCTTTTCACTGAATAGTCATGGTATTTAGAGGATCCAGCCCAGTATCCACATCCCATTAATTTCAACAGTTTTTGTACTATTTCTTGTTATTATGGGATGGGATGCTGTGAGAATTAAAACATCAAAAACTGAGAGACAGATTTTGTGGTCAGAAGGCAAGCTAAGTGCTTTACACTGATATCTATGGGTAATTCATGGGTAATGACATTGTCAATCCCTCACTGTCTACAAGCAACACAGGATCTATGCAACTACTATAAATAGCACAAGGTAATTTGTTGAAACTGCTTATTTTTGAAGTGAAAACCAAAATAACTATTTGCTTTATGAAGGATTTTAGTAAGAAAAATGCTATGTAAACCTGTTTCATTACAACAAAGATACTAACCTAATTTAAAAAAAAGGATTTAATGCTTCAGACAGCCCATAATTACTTCAAATTTAAATGAAATGCAGCAACTTGTCTGTGCTGAAGTAACATGTAATGGCAAACACAGAGCTATGAATATCTTGTATCTTAACCAAAATAGAAAGTAAATTTTTAATTCAAAAAGGCTGAAAATTTCTCTTCCTTCTTGCTGTCATAATCTGTCTCTCTTCCTTCAAGCATTCCTTTATGCCATGTCTTCCTCTAGCCTGTGTTGACTTTAGTCTCTCATACTCACCTCTGATGACCTCAGACCCTTGGGTGTGCTGTGTCCTTACCCCAGCTGATTTTCCAGGCACTCACACCTCCGTCCAATTTGCAGCCCTGGTTCAAACCTCTAGTGTGCTGAAATGGCTGTTTACTTGCTGGTACTCATCAAGGGCTCCCCTCTTTGTGATCTCTGTTGCTGAGTCATCTGATCCCTCTGGGCATTGCCTCTCCTCTGTCCCAGCTCTAACTCCCTCCCAGGCTTCCCTGATTATCATTATGACAAACCCATTTGGTGTGACACGTGTTTCTTACTTCTCTCAGCAGTCCATCTTGGAACTGAGGTTTTGGGCATCCTAAAGGTCTGCAAATGAAGTCCCTACCCTGGACATCCAAGTCCTTTGATGACACCAAATTTCAAGAAGCCTGCCTCTCTCTTCCCATCTCTGCATTTAACTATACCCTTTTGCTTCCCTTGATGTCTTCTGTTAAACCAGGAACAGCTAGTTTAACAGAGGGAGGCCCCATTTATTCCCAGTGTGCCACTGCTGCACCTGCCAGCGGCTAAGTCTATCCCACCTCCCAGCAGTTTGACCAGGCCCTAGTGATGCTCTCGGTGTGGGAAAAGCTCTTAGACCATAACTGGATCTTCTTGTCAATTCTCCCCTTGCAATCCTGAAACATCCATGCCTTTCTTCTTTCAGATAAAACCACAGTCACCTGAGTCACAAGCAAAGCCTTTACTTGTTACCCTGAAAATACCTACATGTCCTGCATTGCTACAGACCCTTAAAAAGGTCTGGCTTAAGCCTGCCTCCAGACAACCTTTTCCTGGGGCACCGAGTGCCTTCACCCAGAGATATGAAGCAAACCCTTGAGCAGAGGGGAAAGACAACAACCCCGTCATGTCATCTGCAGTTGTTTTCTTCTTCTCTGAGATATTGTAGAAGTGTCTCCAGATGATTGCTCCTCAGCAGTGGCCTGTTCTCCTGACTACCATCTATTAGCACTCCTGGTCCATGTTTAGTAGATGTGCTTTGTTTGTGACTTAGGGAGTTGGTTAATTTGGTGGGTTCAACTTGCTTTTTATCATTGCATTTATTAACTAATTGCACAGAACACTTGCAGAAGATCCGTTCTTTCAGGCCAGCATGGCCAGTGTGGCTTTGTCTGCTGGTATTTTTTGTTCTGATTCAGCTGCTAATGGGGTATGTTTCCTGTGCTCTGCCTCTGGGCTGTACTGAGGCATTGAAAGAATGTAGGTAACAGCTGGAAATGTGGGCATTTAAAAGCCCTTTTGGGTTTCGCAGGTTGGGAGTGTCCCCTTTTACAGGAAAAAGGAGTGTCTTCATGAAATTATCCCTTCAAGAGAGGAAATACAATAGAGGGGAGAGAAGCAATGCAAAAATCTAAGCCCACACTGTATCATGGTGTTAGCATCAGCAGGAGTTAACTTTTTTTTTTCCTAAATGTTTTAGAAGATAAAACTCTTGGTAGATGTGGTAATAGGAACTACAAACTAACACGTTGACCTCCTTACTTGTAATTAATATGTTTTTCATCTTTTCTATGTCTGGCTTTTCCTTCTTACCTATTCATTAGCTATAAGTAAGTGAAGGGATTAGCATGCAATTGCACATTTGCCCCAGCCCTTCCAATTGTCACTAAGGTGCATGAAGAACTGGGCAGCTCGGTGGGGTTACTCAGACCATAGGAATCTAAGGAAAGCAGCAATGGGATTCTTTAACCCTTCACAAGGCATGTGAGAATTTGAACAGTCCTATTGGGTGAGCACCACTTAGGAAGCAGAAGCATTTTACACTGTTCTGTAACACAAAAAGTAATCAAACAAGAGATTACTGCAAACATTCTAAGTGAAGTGAGCTATTCATTTATGTGACTACAGGTTGCACCACATGAGTGATGGGAAATGTGTTTGCCACAGCAGATAAAGGAGGTGGTAGAGGACTCCCCTCTGAGAAACCCTGTGCCACAACCTGTTGACATGTATAGCTCTGCTATGTGTGTACATTATCTCACTGTCTTCTAGAGTGGTAATGCTGCAGAGGAGGCCATCAGGGCCTCATTTCCTCGTGGAGGAATACCATACCTCATGCATACCATACCTGGCCATGGTATGCTGGTCAGTAGTTAGCAGTGAGTGAGAGCTGTGTGTCCTTCATGCCATTCAAATTTTGTACCTTTGAGTTCCTCCTGAAAGTCTGTCCCTTGCAGGGTTCCAGTTGAAGCCCAGCACACCTGCAGTGTTCATAAAGCACTTCTCCCATACCTCCATCTGATGATATCAAAACTCTAGGATGTCCTGTCATGTCTTAAGTTGCTTCCTCCCAGGGCCCTGAGGTCTCCTTTATATTCCCTTCAACCCACTATTGCTTATCCAGATGTCACAGTCTGATCCCAGCTGCCCCAACTCTTGTAGTATTCATGCTTATTCCAAATATGACCAAACCTTCATCATTTAAACTTGAAGCTTCCAGAGGTACAATTACAGTATGTAGGAGACATGTGAGACAAAGGGGAAAGATTAAGAAAACAGAAGGTATAAAAAGCAAGGAGGGAGAAAGGAGAGAAGGGAAAGAAACTATAATACTCAAGAAAAAGTGAAAAATTGAATTACAGCTATGTGCTATTGAGATGGACAAAGGAAGGAAATATATGTTTTGGAAATCCAAGAAGTCAATGGTAAAGAAAAGATGGCAAGAAATGGAAATAAGAAAAGAAAGAGTAAATCAGGAACAAAAGGTGGTGAAGACAAACATTTTAAATGGAGATACTCTAGTTTCTTCAAAGCAGTCTTGGTAGACTGCTCCTTTAAAAAGAATAGCAACTAAAAATCTCTAATCCAGAAAATGTCATAGCATTAAATCTCACTGCTGGGGTTCTGATCATTTGGTTTTAGAGACACCTGATATGCACACTGAGAGCTTCCTAGCTCCCAGCTCTCTCTTCTTTTTTTCTGGCTTTAAACACTGGGAAAAGATGTCCTCTAGCAGATTGACTTTTCCTGCCAACTGCTGCTTATTGCACCCTTCTCTCCCTCAGCTAATAATCTGTAAATTAGTTTGCTCCCCTCCTATTTCCTTTCTTCTGCTGAGGTAATGGAGTATCCTCAGAGGCTGATAACTATCAGGTAAGGAGCTGCAAGTTTCTACATAAGTTAATATGCACTTCTAAATCTTGAGCAATTGACAGTTGTTTCTTTAATTTTGCAATTTCTGCTATTCAGCTGGATGACACGCAGTCTTAAAAGAAAATCATGCTCCAAATTCCTTCTTAAGCTGCATTTCTTTTGGCTTAGAATTTGTTAAAGTTTAAATCTTTTGGTCCCATATAGAGATAAGTATTCAGAAAATCCTTCATATTCCTGGTCACTCTTAATCTCTAGTCCATGATCTCTGCAGGTGCAGGAACTGATGGCCTGTAAACCACAGTGGGAGGAAGCATTGTACTGGTCATATTGTTGGTTTCCATCTCATGAGGATATGATAAACTTGCATGTAAGCCTGCAGAAATGTTGAGAGTCAACAGTGATTCAAAAAACTTTGGCAACTGCTCTTCCAGTTTACTGCAGTCCTGGGAAACTTTCTCCAAGTATGAAAAAACATCCCACAGTGAGAGAACTCCAGGCGCAAAGGACTTTCTCACTGTACAGGTAACTATTGAGG